TCTCTGTCATTGGTGTGGAACCCCAGGGTTCACCTCCTGGGTAAGATCGAATCTTGGTTAGGGCGGCTGGTACCTTCCAATGGACTCACCACCCACTGGAAGGTTTAGGGGGTTGGTACGGTGCAGTGTGATTTGGGTGGCCGTCATGGAGACTGCTGCCTCCGCGACCCGGTAACGGTGAAAGCGGATAAAAATGGATGGATGGATGGAAATACTCATTATTTTCCAAGAGCCACAACAGAACGATGAAGCCACATGCGGCTCTGGAGCCGCGGGTTGTCGACCCCTGGTCTAGTGGAATAACACTTGTACAATCCAAGAAATTTTGAAATACAGAAAAATATAATTTTTTTTTGCTACACTTGCCAACGCCATTTGCCAAGTTTATTTAAGAAAGCAGTTTTAAAATGCTGCAGTTTGGCTACACAGAAGGTGAACTGAGATAAAACGTTGAAATGCTGTTTTGCCCATTGCAGTGCCGTTTTTAAAATTCCTTTGTAGCCAAATGTACTGAAGCAATTCTTAAATTCTGCCAAAATCTAAAATGTGTTCCTAAAAACATTATTAGAGTGTTCACACTGAAGGCAACAACAAACACTAGGTCACACCCTATGTGTGTGCGTCTGGCCCCTATAAAAACTTGTGTTGTTTGTCCCTGTACTTGTAGCGGCCTGCAGGAAACATCTTTTGCTTGTTGTAGCTTAGTTCATTTTATTGGAGTGAATTTGAGAATTTAATTATATTCTCTATTTACAGAGTACAACTGTAAGGGTACATACTATAATCTGTTCCTCCTTTTCTGGTGTAGCATCATTAGTTGCCTTACAGTATAGTGAGGCACAGAGGCCTGTGTTTCTTATAGACATTAATTCAACCTATGCTTGATAGCCGAATTAATTTTTTGCATACCGATGAATAGAGTAGCATTAATAGGACACTAAATAAACCTGTGGTACAAAGTGTAAGGGGAAAATGTTCCCAATGGATCCCTGGTGCTGTGAAGTTACTTATATAAATGAACAACTGTCAAACATCTGCACAGTTACACACGTGCCTGAATCTGATGGCACAATAAAATTTACATTTCCTGTTACTTTTAAAAACATTAAACTTGACTTATTTTTATCATTTACTGTATATTCATTGTAGAGAAGCAAGGGTTTCTCTCAAGATGTTTGTATGGTGGGAGGAGGGGAATCCTAATACTCCCAGAGGAGCATGTCTCACTTCAGAGACCTTGTGGTTGCTAATGTCAGAGCATCCTCTCAACACTCACTAGGGACTGTGGTAGGAGTTGGATGAATCGCCCAAAGCAACACATCCTGGTATTTTTAGCTATTGTTAGCCAGCAGCAAGATGAGGCGATATCGTACGAGTGCTTGTCACTTTGAAATCTTTTCTGAATTCTTCTGCCCTAAACACCTGAGTTAATGTACTTTATCATAAGTATCTGATTTTTTTACATGTAAATCTTAATTTTATCAAAGTGTTTGTATTTGCTTATACTCATAAAACAGAGTACTAAATGAGTATAATATACACACTATACAAACATCTAAACTTTGACTTTGTTCTTACTGTTCCGTATTGGAAATTAACACCAATTGTAACTCTAATAATAATAATAATAATAATACATTTTATTTAAAAAGCGCCTTTCAGGTCACTCAAGGACACTTTACATAAAATAAAATAAAAACAGATAATAATTTAAAACAGGGCATAGAAATAAAATAAAAACAGATAATAATTTAAAACAGGGCATAGAAACATGTTTAAAATCAATGATAAACAAAAGCACGGAGGAGGGAGGTTAGAGGGAGTATGCTGTCCGGAACAGGTGTGTTTTGAG